CCTACTAGGATGGCTACCATAAAAAAACAAAACAACACCCACAGAAAGTAGCAAGTGTTCACAAAAATGTGCAGAAACTGGAACACACACACACTTTGCTGGCAGAAATATAAAACTTCGTTCCTCCACAAGTTAAACAGAATGATCCAGCAAATCCTCTCCTATAAGAGTTAAAAGCAGGGACTCAGGCCCTGGCTCAGTAGCTCAGTGAGAGCATCATCCCTATTTGTCAAGGCTGGTAGGAGTTTGGTCCTCAGTCAGGGCACACACAAGGATCAACAATGAACGCATAAATAAGTGGAACAGTCAATTGATAAATCGATATCTCTTTCTTTCTCAAGAACAAATTAAAATTAAAAAAGAACTGGGGCTGAAACCGGTTTGGCTCAATGGATAGAGCGTTGGCTTGGGGACTTGGGGGTCCTGGGTTCGATTCCGGTCAAGGGCATGTACCTTGGTTGCGGGCATATCCCCAGTGGGGGGTGTGCATGAGGCAGCTGATCGATGACGCTCTCTCATCGATGTTTCTAACTATCTCTCTCCCGTCCTCTCTGTACAAAATCAATACAATATATTTAAAAAAAAAGAGCTGGACTCAAACAGATACTTACACACCAACATTCATAGCAGCATTATTCACAATGGCCCAAAGATGGAAACACCCCAAATTCCACCAACAGATGAATGGATAAACAAACTGTTGTATACATGCAATGGGATGTTATTTATTTATTTACTTATTTTTAATATATTTTATTGATTTCTTACAGAGAGGAAGAGAGAGGGATAGAGAATTAGAAACATCATTGAGAGAGAAACATCCATCAGCTGCTTCCTGCATGCCCCTACTGGGGATGTGCCCGCAAGTAAGGTACATGCCCTTGACTGAAATCGAACCTGGGACCCTTGAGTCTGCAGGCTGATGCTCTATCCACTGAGCCAAACTGGTGTGGACTCAATGGAATATTATTAATCCTTAAAAGGAAAGAAAATTCACCCGCTGGTGTGGCTCAATGGTTGGGCGTTGACCCATGCACTAAGAGGTTGCTGGTTTGATTCCCAGTCTATGGACACAGAAATAGTGTGGTGAAGGCCTGGGGGCTGGGTGGAGGTGGGGCAAAGCAGGGGGAAATGGGTAGAAATCAGTACTATTGTCAACAAAAAATAAATTTAAAAGGGGAAATTTTGATACATGCTACAACATGGGTGAACTTTGAAAACATGCTAAGTGAAATAACTCAGGCACAACAAAACAAATATTCCACTTATACAAGGTACACACACACACACACACACACACACACACACAGCATTTGCTTATTTTGATTTGTATCCAAACATGAGATGGAGAGATGGTCCAGGAATGAATAAATAGATGAATAGATACAGTATGATAAAGTAAATTTAACAACATGGCAATTGTGGAATCTAGGGGTGTTCACTATACCATCCTTTCAACTTTTCTGTATGTTTGCAGTTGTTTAGAATGAAATAAAAACTGCATCCCTGATGGGTCTAGGTGGCTACTCAGGTCACAAAAGGAGGGAAAGCAGACCTTGAGTATTTCCTGCTAAGAGGGCACAATGGCCTCTATGAAAGACTTGCCAAAGTAATGGAAACTGGACCAGCCGGTGTGACTCATGGCTGAGCATCCACCCATGAACCAAGAGGTCCCCAGTTTGATTCCTGGTCAGGACACATGCCTGGGTTGCAGGCTCAATTCCTAGTAGGGTGTGTAAGAAGGCAGCCAATAGATGGCTATCATTGATGTTTCTATCTCTTTAATTCCTCTCCCTTCCTCTCTCTCTCAAAAACGAAAATCAATGAAAACATTTTTAAAAATATATATTTTATTGATTTTTACAGAGAGGAAGGGAGAGAGATAGAGAATTAGAAACATTGATGAGAGAGAAACATCGATTAGCTGCCTCCTGCACAACCCCAACTGGGGATGTGCCTGCAACCAAGGCACATGCCCTTGACCAGAATCAAACCTGGGACCCTTCAGTCTGCAGGCCAAGGCTCTATCCACTGAGCCAAACCAGTTACGACCGTGGTAGGCAAACTGCGGCTCTCGAGCCACATTCGGCTCTTTGGCCCCTTGAGTATGGCTCTTCCACAAAATACCACATGCGGGCACGCACGTACAGTGCAATTGAAACTTCACGGCCCATACGCAGAAGTTAGTTTTCAGCTCTCAAAGGAAATTTTAATCATACTGCTGATATTTGGCTCTGATGACTGTTTGCTGACCACTGAGTTAGGGCAAAAACATTTATTTTTTATTTTTTTTATTTTTTTTAAGGAAGCTGAACTGGATCATCTGGTGTTGGTCAAGATGAGGATAGAGAAATGCACTGAAGCCACACCACCAGGATAACATCAGACTGGCAAAGTCTAAAGGCCAGCCTCATTTCCTCCACGGCTATGTTGCAAGGGGGAAAAGAGGAAGAGAAACCAGCCAAATGCAGTGTGTGACCTTGTCTGGGTTTTTATTTCAACGAACAAATACCAGATGTCTGAGAGACAATTGGGGAAATCTCACAGGCTACCCAATGATTTCAAGGAATCGTTAAACCTTTTTTAAAATTTTATTTTTATTTTTATTGCACATCACTCCTTTATTAAACTGATCTGAGAAAGATGCAGTAGTTATGCTCAAAATGCTTCCTGGGCCCACGTGGCAGGGCCAGCAACTGGAACAGGAATCCAGAACCCACACAGCGGAGGACACCCCTGGCCGTGGTCAGGAGACAGGAAGGCGGGGAGGGCTCTATAGCAGCAGACGGCTCCTGCCGACGGCGGTGTGAGGAATGGCTTATTGGGGGGCGACCACACGTGGGAAGAGTTCAGCCGACACTAAAACCCCCGGAAGCGTTTTTGTTTTGTATTGTTTTATACAGATATACATTCTTTTTGTAAAAGTAAATGCATCACGTGAACGTGCAGGATTGATCTCAGTCTTCTGGAGCCAGCTTTTCTGGGGTCAGGGAGGAAATGTTGGTTTGAATCACCAGGCGTTCATCTGCCACTGGAGTGACCAGAGCCCCCCGTCAGTTCACCTGACTGCGGGATAGCACAGGGCGGCGCCCAGGGACACAGATAGGCTCTCTTGCCTCTCCTCATTGGTCACGCTTAACACGGCTCCGCCTTATCCCCCTACTTACAAGCAGGTCCTTAGTAATAAACAAAACACTAGCCAAAACACACACACACACACACACACACACACACACACACACAAAAACACACACAAAAAAGTTATTACCTCTGAACACTCTCTCTCTCTCTCTCTCTCTCTCTCTCTCTCTCTCTCTCTCTCTCTCTCTTTTAATAGAGTTTATTGATTTTTACAGAGGAAGGGATAGAGAGCTAGAAACATCGATCAGCTGCCTCCTGCACACACCCCACTGAGGATGTGCCCTTGACTGGAATTGAACCTGGGACCCTTCAGTCCACAGGCTGACGCTCTAGCCACTGAGCCAAACCAGTTAGGGCCCTCTGGACTCTCTTAAGTAAGAGTCTCCCTCGGCTTGGACGGAGGACCCATGCCCAGAGGTGCCATTCTGACTAGATTGCATGGAGTGGGTGCAGGAGACAAAAGGGCTGTCCCCATCCCCATCTGCAGCTACAACCTAAGATGCTTACAGCTGTGGTCCATGGACATGTGCACAGGAGAGCAGCAGCGGAGTGGGTAGGGGGAGGGTGTCCTTGGGAGAGTTGTCTGCCTGCTCGCCTTCCCTTGGCCTTGCCCTGGGCAGCCACAGCATCCAGGGCTTGATGCAGGGTCTCTTCATCCCCCAGGGACTGCATGGGCTTCAAGTTCTTGTCCAGTTCACAGGCAGTGGGAATACCAGTCGGCAGGCTCAGCTCCACGATAGCCTCTTCAGAGGCCCCTCCGGATGTGTGACAATGCCCCGAAGGCTGTTGCCATGGGCTGCAATCAGTACCCATTTCCCCTTAATCTGAGGCACTATTTCTTCATTGAAAAGGGCAGATAGTGTCCTTTAGACTCTCACCGGAGGGCAGCTGGTCTTCAGTGAAGTCTGCAACCTGCGGTCCTCACTGATGTTGCTGTAGGTGGTGGTGGGATATCATAAGAACGCCTGGAGATGCTTACCTGGGCCTCGCCATTTTTGGCAGCAGCTTCTGCTTTGTTAAGACCAGTCAGACCCCCATAGTGCCGCTCACTGAGACGCCAAGTCCTCGCTACAGGCAGCTGCAGGTGGTCTAAGGCTGTGGTCTAAGACCATGGTAGGCAAACTCACAAGCCACATGCGGCTCTTTCGCCCCTCGAGTGTGGCTCTTCCACAAAATACCACAGCATGGGCGAGTCTATTTTGAAGAAGTGGCATTAGAAGAAGTTTAAGTTTAAAAAATTTGGCTCTCAAAAGAAATTTCAATCGTTGTACTGTTGATATCTGGCTCTGTTGACTGATGAGTTTGCCAACCACTGGTCTAAGGCATCCAGCACCGCCCAGAGGCCCGAATTGCTCTCTTCTGCACTGAGATGAAGCAGATGTCAAACTCATAGCCGGCATCTCGCAGCGCCTACCCACCACACTTCGCCTCCTCGTGCCCAGCCGGGCTCAGGTCCGCATCGCACAAGCTGTGAAGCGGCTCTCCGGGTTCCCGCGCTCCCGCCATCAGCTCCAGCCTGCAGGCAGCACGGAGGCGCTTCCGAGTGCGGTGTGTGTGTGTATATATATATATATGGAAGTATTTACAGATAAATGATATGATACTGGGATTTGTTTCAAAACGATCCTGACCATCCCTCCTACAGTGGGGGGGTGGTGGGGGGACACAGCTGAAACAGAACCGGCCACGGGCGTTGTGAACTGTTGGTGCTGCCTGTTTACTGCATTATTCTCCCTTGCTTTGCATATGTTTTAAATTGTCCATAGAAAAGTTTTTTTAAAAAAATAATTCTTTATTGGTAAAAGTATCACATATCATATAAAAGTGTTTTTTTGTTGTTGTTGTTTTTTTAAAAAACCAGCTGCACAAACATAAGCCAAGACAATTCTGAAGAAGAAAAAGGAGATTGATCCTATCAAATATCAAAACATATTCTAGTGGCAACGTCTTTCCCAATTACCAGGCTAGATCCTGCAAGCAATTATTTGTTGGAAATTCGCCCTAGGATACCCTTGAATGTGGGTGGAGTGATATGCACCCATGGCTGCTCACTGCAGCAGCAACACAGACATAGCAAAGGATTCAAGATAACTGCATGAAGAGCAAAGGCTTAGGGGTAACTACATGAACCCCAGCAAAAACTACATTACAACTACAAATAGCGCAAGGAAATACTGTAGGCCTGCATAGCTGGGACCACCCCCAAGACCTATTACAAAGGGGAAAATAAAAGCAAGAATACAGACTGGAGTTGTGTATTCTTGCACATGCTACCACTCTTGCAAAAGACAGGAAAGTATAATGTGTGTACGGATTTCCTTGCATCTGGATGAAACATCTCTGGAAGCAAACACAGGAAACCAGATGGTACCAGTTGCCTGCAGAGAGGTGCCAGTGGTGGCTGATGGGCAGGAGGGAGACATGTCCCTGCTTATGTCAGTATCACCTATCTAAAAGAAAATAATTACAATGAATATTTAATTCTGAAAACTGTTATAAAAAGCAGATGCCACTAGAATCATGTATAATTGTCCACTCAGGAGAGCTTGGGGGCATAAGGTCTTGAGACGCCCTATGGGAAAGCAAATCCTTCAAATGCTTTTCACAGTGTGGCTGACACAGAACCCGCCTCAAGACTACCCCTGAAGGAGAAACACTTTGGCAAACACCACATTAACAAGATCAAATGTTTATTAAGTAGTCGTTTGCAACTCTCTCAGCTAAACACGTGATATACACAATCTCTTCACATTCTCTTCCGAGTCAGCGAGCAAGACCATCCCCAGTCCACCGTTGAGAGCTGAGGCCAGAGAAGGAAAGTCACTCGCCTGCGGTCGCACAGGGAGGAAAGGCTGAAACCGGAAGTCTTACCAGCGTGGCATGTGGCCCCCAAACCCTTTGCTGGGATAGACAACAGGCAGTCATTGAGCACCTTCTGTGCTCCTGGCACCGGGGATTGAGAGGCGAGTGAGCGGAGGTTGAATAGTTGCATGTGGCTTCACTCGTAGTGTCTTGCTGCAGCTACAGTCCCCAGAAGAGCAGGCACTTGCTGAAGAAGGACCCAGAGACCAGAGCCTCCGGCAGAGAAACAGGAGTTTATTACTCGCTCCTGGAGATAGTGGGCTCCCAGCGCGGGACTGGGGGAAGACATGAGGATCGGATACAAGGGACGGACTAGCTCCTTGCTGGTCCTGGGTCTCTCCGGAACCTGTGTTAAGGCGATGACTGTGGAGGATGCTATGGCTTGAATGTTGAAGTCCCTTCAAGATTCAGATGTTGGCCCAAACCAGTGTGGCTCAGTGGATAGAGGGTCAGCCTGTGGATTGAAGGGTCCCGGGTTCGATTCCGGTCAAGGGCATGTACCTTGGTTGTGGGCACATCCTCAGTAAGGGGTGTGCAAGAGGCAGCTGATCGATGATTGTTTCTCATTGATGTTTCTAACTCTCTATCCCTCTCTCTTCCTCTCTGTGAAAATTCAATAAAATATATTTTTTTAAAAAAAGAAAGAGGTTCAGACGTTGAAGCCCAAGTGCCTGATATGATGGTATTAGGAGGCGGGTCTTCGGGAGGGAGGTGGGTGGGTCCCTCATGAGTGGGATTGGTGCCCATATACAACAGGCCCCAGAAAGATCCCTCGCCCCCTCCCACCTGGAGAGGGCGCAGTGCGAAGGCGTATCTTGATGGTTGACTTCCCAGAGCCCAGAACTGTGAGAAATAAATTTCTGTCGATTACAGGCCTCCCGCCCCATGGCATTGTTATGACAGCGTGGATGGATGGACACAAGGAGAGTCAGGCCACAGACCGGGGTCTCAGGGGTGATGCACGGGCAGCGGGGGAAGCCACATTCTCTGGCAGAAGGGGAGGGAGGCCCTCTCGGTGAGAACTACCTGCTCCGACTCCCGGAAGCAGAGCTCCGGGCGGGTTTTAGCCGACACTGAACACGGAGGGGGCCTGGCCCTGGTACTTCTCGTGGACGGTTTTCAGGATGGGTATGAGGTTCTGGAAGGTCGGGCGAAACGAGGCCTCTGCCTCCCAGCAGTTCTTCATGAGGACGTAGATCTGGGGGCGGAAGAACTGGGGCTGTGGTCGCTGCTCTGTCCATCTGATGACGGGGACAGGGGAAAAGTGTGTGTGGGGGGGGCGCGGGGAGGTCTCACCTCATGGGGACATTTCTCTGGCCGTGGCAGCCTCTCCCCTCGTTCCAGCAGCTCCGTGAGCCTCAGTACTGTCATCTGGCCCTGCGTGAGGCCGATGAGCTCGATGAATTTCTGCAGAAGAAACAAGACAAGTCCTCAGCAGGCAGGATGCCTGAGCACAGGCCGGGAGCTTTCGGTGGGACTCCGGGGGTCCTGGTCCTGTCCCCATCACTTCTCAACTGCATAACTTTGGGCTAAGGATCTCATTTCTTTAGGCTTCAGTTTTCCCATCTGTAAAATGGGGTAAAATCATCAACTACCTGGGGTGATTGTGAAAGTTAATAAACTCATATTCATACAGTAAGCCTGAATCAGGTGGTTGCGTTGTTATTAAACCTCCCAGCAAGTTGTTTTTGTCCGGACAGGAACTTTATTTCCCCTTCCTATATCGGCACTATGATTGACTTTGGGAATAAACATCTAACATATTCTTGTCTCTTCCGCTAGCCCAGTCCTGGCCAATGATTATGGCCCATGGATACACAGTGATTGGCTCCCTGGAGGACACATGAGCCAAGCTGGGCCAATCAGATCGTCCTGAGAATTAAGCTGGAAAGAGGACCCCTTTCCCGCCTCACCTGAGGGAAATGGGTGCCTGGAAGGCAGGGTGGGGTGGGGAGCTGTTGCCACAAGAGAGAGGGCCTGCCTAAGAGATGCTACCACGGAGAACAGCAGAGCTGAGAGATGGAGGAAATGGGATTCATGATGACATGAGGGTCTAGTTCAAGCTGTGCCCCATTCTCCCCTCGAGGGCAAATGGCAGAAGCAGCTGTTCCTATGTGAGTGGAGTTTCTGTCACAAAAGCCTCTCAGTCCCATTTCACAGATTGGAACTGCGAGGCTCTGGTGGAGGAAGCACTTGCTAAGCCGGGGGAGTCGGGGACTGAATGCACGGCTTTCTAACTCCGCTGGTAGGGGGTGGCTCTCACCGAGGGCGGGCTTTGGCTGGAGTCACAGTAGGTCAGCAGCTCATACATGGTGACTCCAAAGGACCAGACGTCAGACGCATAGTAGAACTTGCACTCCTTCAGGCACTCAGGGGCGTACCTGCGGGGAGAGGGCAGTCAAGCCTTGGGCCAGACCAGGATGGAGTCCTTTTCTGGGGCTTGGGAGCCTCTGGGACCCGCTTAGGGCCCCATCCTTAAGAGAGAGCAGTGTCACTGAGAACCCAGCGTCCGCCTCCACCCCGGGCCCCCTCCGGCTGGGTCCCCCCGGTCACCAGAACACGGGGCTGTCGCCATCCTCGCGCACTCGGTAGTACTCGTAGCCCTCGGGCACGGCCTTGGCCAGGCCGAAGTCCCCGATCTTGACCAGCCGGTCGTTGTCCAGCAGCACGTTGCGGGCAGCCAGGTCTCGGTGGACGTAGTGCTGGGTGTGCAGGTAGGCCATGCCCTGGGGGTGAGGCGGGGCAGGGCGGGGCGGGTCATGCCCAGTGGGGCAGGGTGGGGCCTGAGGAGCTGTGACCGGGATGGCGGGGGACAGTCAGGATGGGCCTGCAGGGCCCAGGAGCAAAAGCGAGCAGTCTGGCAGGTGGAGCCCACCGGACAGCAGGGGCAGGGCCTCAGAGGCGGAGGACTGGGAGGGGGCTGGGCTGCTGGCGTGGCCCAGAGAGCAAAGGGAATCTCAAAAGTGGAGGAAACTAGGCGGGTTGGTGACCCAGCCACTGGGGCTGTGGCCGAGCGATGGGTTGAAGGGATAAGTACAGAGCCAGCCGGCCCAGGGGCGCCCAGGGGCGGAGCCTGGCAGGCAAAGGGCTGGGACACTCGGGCCAGGCCCAGAGGAAGGGGCAGCTGTGAGCAGGCGGTGGGCCCACCTCGCAGATCTGCTGGGCGAACAGCAGCAGCTGGGCCAGGCCGACGTGGTGCCGGGGCAGGTAGTCTCGGAGGCTGCCCAGAGGCACGTACTCCATGACGAGCTGGACCGATTTCTCCCCTAAGGGTGACAGAGGCAGGGCTGGGGGCCGCCCCCCGGACCCTGCAGTCCCCCGCCCCAAGGTGGGGAGGGAAAGCCAACCCCTGCCCAAGCTAGACCTCGTCCTCGGGAAAGATGGATCCATGCTGAACGCCCCCTCCCCCCCATGCCTACGAACTGCATCCTCCAGCCTGGGACTGAGAGGCTCCAATTGGCCAGGCCCTCACCCCCCCCCCCACCCCCACCCTCACCCCCACCCCCACCCCCACCCCCCCCCCCACCCCCACCCACACCCCCACCCCCACCCCCACCCACACCCCCACCCACACCCACACCCACACCCCCACCCCCACCCACACCCACACCCCCACCCACACCCACCCCCACCCCCACCCCCACCCCCACCCACACCCCCACCCCCACCCTCACCCACACCCTCACCCACACCCACACCCCCACCCTCACCCCCACCCACACCCTCACCCCCACCCACACCCTCACCCCCACCCTCACCCACACCCTCACCCACACCCACACCCACACCCTCACCCTCACCCACACCCACACCCCCACCCACACCCACACCCACACCCCCACCCCCACCCTCACCCACACCCACACCCCCACCCACACCCACACCCCCACCCCCACCCCCACCCACACCCACACCCCCACCCACACCCACACCCTCACCCACACCCACACCCCCACCCTCACCCCCACCCACACCCTCACCCCCACCCACACCCACACCCTCACCCCCACCCACACCCTCACCCACACCCTCACCCACACCCCCACCCACACCCCCACCCACACCCTCACCCACACCCTCACCCCCACCCACACCCTCACCCCCACCCACACCCACACCCTCACCCTCACCCACACCCCCACCCTCACCCACACCCACACCCCCACACCCACCCACACCCACACCCACACCCTCACCCACACCCTCACCCCCACCCTCACCCACCCCCCCACCCCCACCCCGGCTTTGCCAACACGCGGGTCTTTCTAACCCTCGCCCTCACCCTCGCCGGCCCACCTCGGTCCTCACAGCAGCCCTTGTACTTGACGATGTGCTCGTGGTAGAGGGTGCGCAGGATGTCGATCTCCCGCCTCCAGCCGGTGTGGAGCTGAGGGCCGCAGTCCGCCCTGAGGGCCTTCACGGCCACCATCTCGCCGGTGCCCTCGTTGGTCGGGTCGTAGCAGTACAGGCTGACTTTGCCGAAGTGACCCTGGCCAAGATGCAGGACGGTCAGCGCCCCATTGCTCCACCCCCACCCCCACCCCCACCCGCGGCTTTGCCAACATGCGGGTCTCTTTCTAACAGCCAGACCCCTCCGCTGGCCCTTACCTCACCCAGATCCCGGATCTTTTTCAAGTACCGCTTGTGGAAAACAGTGGGGTCTGATGCTGGTGAGGTTGGAGTCACAGACAAGATTTCAACAAGATCTGGAAGAGCCACAGTGGGTGAGGCCGGACCCTGACCCTTTACCCAGCAGGCCCACACCCCCGGGCACAGAGGGCATGACTGCTTCCCCCAGCATCCAACCCAGAGATCAGGAGAGCTTTTGCAACAGCTGGAAAATCCGCTTCTAGTAAAAAATGCAGAGCTGGCTGCATCAAACTGACACCTGGGGTGTTCTAGGACTGCATAAAGGGCACAAACTTTTCATCCAGAGAGAAAGCAAGCCCGACCAGCGTGGCTGAGCATCAGCTTATGAACCAGGAGGCCACGGTTCGACTCCCAGTCAGGGCACAGGCCTGAGTTGAGGGCTCCATCCCCAGGGTGGGGCGTGCAGGAGGCAGCCGACCCATGATTCTCTTTCATCACTGATGCTTCTATCTCCCTCTCCCTCTCCCTTCCTCTCTGAAATAAAGAAAATTTTATTTTATTTTTTTTTAAAGAGAGAAAGCAAAACCACAAAAAAAAAATTTTTTTGAGGGTCTAATTCACCCAAAACATTTGTGGCTGTCCCCAAACAAAACATTAAGAACTTGGGAAGATGGCTGCTCGGGTAGACACCTAACCGCAGCAGCTCACAACAATTTCAATGGAATACAACTAAAATGTAGAGTGGACATTGCCCAGACCTACAGGTGGTCGACTGACTGAAAACTCTACAATAGGAAGGTGGGAGAAAGCCAGAGGGAAAGTCAGAGGAGCTGAAAAAAGAGCCTAAGGTACGGAGACATGCTGCGCGCTCGCACGTTCGCGCGCACCGAGAGGTCGCAGCCGGAGAGGAGGAGAGGGCTGGGTGCTGCCTGGCGTTCCCTAGCAGGAAGGAAATGAAACCCCCAGCCTGGGCTGAACCCCCGAACTGGCAGCGCTGAGCCCCATTATGGGCCAGATTCTGGGGACCCAGGCTCCGGCAGGGGGAGACGGGGCTGGGAGGCTGAATCCCAGGGGAAAAACGAAAGGCGGGGGCCCCCGGAGTCGCGTGCTTTGTGCGCAGAGGACTGAATGTAGACTCTGATGCTGGATTACCCTAGCCGGAAGGAACAAAGCCTCCGGCGGCGCTGAGCCTCATAATGGAGCGCCCCGAACTCCCGGTCTGGGCCAGTCCCTGGGGACCCAGGCCCGGGCACGGGGAGACGGGGCTGTGAGGCAAAATCCCGGGGACGGCGCGAAAGGCGGGGTCCCCCGGAGTCGCGCGCTTTGTGCGCAGAGGACTGAATGTTGACTCTGATGCTGGATTACCCTAGCCAGAAGAAACAAAGCCTCCGGCGGTGCTGAGCCTCAGACCGGACCGCCCCGAACTCCCGGTCTGGGCCAGTCCCTGGGGACCCAGGCTGGGCAGGGGGAGACGGGGCTGTGAGGTGGAGTCCTGGGAGCGCGGCGAAAGGCCGAGCCCCCGGAGTCGCGCACACTGTGCGCAGAGGACAGTCTGTTGACTCTGATCCTGGACTCCCCTAGCGGGAGAGAGAAAGAAAGCTCCAGACTGGAGGATCGTGACGAGGAGCAGGAGCCCCCGCTGGACACCTGCCAGCCGGGTGCCAGCAAGGAGCCGGGCGACGGGGCCTCCAGGGGGGGGGGGTGCCCCTGAGCCCTCGACCGCTGAGCGCAGGCAACAGAGCCAAGGACCGGGGATGCTTCCTGGGCGGCGCCAACCCCAGCGACAGGCTGAAGCAGCGCAGGAGCCCGCGGAGAACAAAGGGGTGCCACAGGCCAACCTGCTGAGATTCCAGGACGGGAAGGAAGAAACAATAGAAGTTCTCAATGTGAAGAAATCAAATGAGAGCAAATGATAGTAAAATTACTTAAGAAAGAATGCAAAGAATATCTTGAAAAATCAAAGACTAAGTCAGAACTCAACTCACCAGCCAACATTGCAACATAAATGCATTTAAAAAAAAAAAGAAAGTAAGAAAGAAAGAAAAAGGGACAGAATGTTGGAACAGCGGCGACCAGACCTAGAGTGGCCAGGCACAAGGCAGTGGCAGCCAGACCCGGAGCAGCAGCGGCCAGGCCCCAGAGCAGCAGCGGCCAGAACCAGAGCATCAACAGCCAGCACTGGAGCAGCCAGACCTGGGGCAGGGGCAGCCAGGCTTGAGGCAGAGGCAGCCAAGCCCAGGGTGGCCAGTCCAGGAACACCCAGACCCGGAGTGGCCGGGCCCGAAGAAGCCAGGCCCAGAGCAGCCGGGTTGGGAGCAGCCAGGCCCAGAACAGCAGAAGCCAAGCCCAAAGCATCCAGCCCAGGTGCGGCCAGGCTCGGAGCAGCCGGGCCTGGGGCAACTGGGTCCAGAGCAGCCGGGTCTGGTGCGGCCAGGCCCGGAGCAGTGGCTGCCAGGCTGGGAGCGGCCAGGCCCGGAGCAACCGGGCCTGGTGCGGCCAGGCCCGGAGCAGCGGCTGACAGGCTGGGAGCAGCCAGGCCCGGAGTGGCCGGGCCCGGAGCAACCGGGCCCAGAGCAGCCGGGTCGGGTGTGGCCAGGCCTGTAGCAGTAACAGCCAAGTCCAGAGCAACTAGGTGGGGAGTGGCAGTGACCAGACCGAGAGCAGCGACTGCCAGGCTGGGAGCGGCCAGGCCCGGAGCAGCCGGGTCTGGTGCGGCCAGGCCCGGAACAGTGGCTGCCAGGCTGGGAGCGGCCAGGCTCGGAGCAGCGGCTGCCAGGCTGGGAGCGGCCAGGCCCGGAGCAGCCGGGTCTGGTGCGGCCAGGCCAGGAGCAGCGGCTGACAGGCTGGGAGCAGCCAGGCCCGGAGTGGCCGGGCCCGGAGCAACCGGGCCCAGAGCAGCCGGGTCGGGTGTGGCCAGGTCTGTAGCAGCAACAGCCAAGTCCAGAGCAACTAGGTGGGGAGTGGCAGTGACCAGACCGAGAGCAGCGACTGCCAGGCTGGGAGCAGCCAGGCCCGGAGCAGCCGGGTCTGGTGCGGCCAGGCCCGGAGCAGTGGCTGCCAGGCTGGGAGCGGCCAGGCTCGGAGCAGCGGCTGCCAGGCTGGGAGCGGCCAGGCCCGGAGCAGCCGGGTCTGGTGCGGCCAGGCCAGGAGCAGCGGCTGACAGGCTGGGAGCAGCCAGGCCCGGAGTGGCCGGGCCCGGAGCAACCGGGCCCAGAGCAGCCGGGTCGGGTGTGGCCAGGTCTGTAGCAGCAACAGCCAAGTCCAGAGCAACTAGGTCGGGAGTGGCAGTGACCAGACCCGGAGCAGCAACTGCCAGGCTGGGAGCGGCCAGGCCTGGAGCAGCCGGGTCTGGTGCGGCCAGGCCCGGAGCAGTGGCTGCCAGGCTGGGAGTGGCCAGGCTCGGAGCAGCGGCTGACAGGCTGGGAGCAGCCAGGCCCGGAACGGCCGGGCCCGGAGCAACCGGGCCCAGAGCAGCCGGGTCGGGTGTGGCCAGGCCTGTAGCAGTAACAGCCAAGTCCAGAGCAACTAGGTGGGGAGTGGCAGTGACCAGACCCGGAGCAGCGACTGCCAGGCTGGGAGCGGCCAGGCCCGGAGCAGCCGGGTTTGGTGCGGCCAGGCCAGGAGCAGCGGCTGACAGGCTGGGAGCAGCCAGGCCCGGAGTGGCCGGGCCCGGAGCAACCGGGCCCAGAGCAGCCGGGTCGGGTGTGGCCAGGTCTGTAGCAGCAACAGCCAAGTCCAGAGCAACTAGGTCGGGAGTGGCAGTGACCAGACCCGGAGCAGCAACTGCCAGGCTGGGAGCGGCCAGGCCCGGAACAGCCGGGTCTGGTGTGGCCAGGCCCGGAGCAGAGGCTGCCAGGCTGGGAGCGGCCAGGCCCGGAGCAGCCGGGTCTGGTGCGGCCAGGCCAGGAGCAGCAGCTGACAGGCTGGGAGCAGCCAGGCCCGGAGCAACCGGGCCCAGAGCAGCTGGGTCGGGTGTGGCCAGGTCTGTAGCAGCAACAGCCAAGTCCAGAGCAACTAGGTGGGGAGTGGCAGTGACCAGACCCAGAGCAGCAACTGCCAGGCTGGGAGCGGCCAGGCCTGGAACAGCCGGGTCTGGTGTGGCCAGGCCCAGAGCAGTGGCTGCCAGACTGGGAGCGGCTAGGCTTGGAGCAGCGGCTGCCAGGCTGGGAGCGGCCAGGCCCGGAGCAGCCGGGTCCGGTGCGGCCAGGCCCGGAGAAGTGGCTGTCAGGCTGGGAGCAGCCAGGCCCGGAGCGGCCGGGCCCGGAGCAATTGGGCCCAGAGCAGCCGAGTCGGGAGTGGCCAGGCCTGTAGCAGCAGCAGCCAAGTCCAGAGCAACTGGGTCAGGAGCGGCAGTGACCAGACACGGAGCAGCTGGTTGTGGAACAAACCAGAGCAACAGAGGCCAGGCCTGGAGCAGCCTGGCCCAAAACAGCTCGCTCCTCACCTGCCCCTGCCCCACGGCTGCCTCTCAGACATGGCGGGAAACTTTTGCGGGAACTTGAGGGTCTGCTGAATCAAGTGATGAAGGCTTAGATCTGGATGTGTTGAGTTAGTATAGCGCTGGGGTGTTGATCTGTGAGTGCCTTGGGTGGGGCCTGGATGAGGCTGGTTGACCTATTTGGAAATGTCTTTTGTGTGAAGTGTATCATTGGGCATGTGGAGGTATTATTGATATGAGAAAATGCTAAGTAACAGATTTGCTATCTGAAAAGGGATTTACTATCGGGGAAAGGGAGGGAGGAAGAGACTGAACATAAACTGTGCACCAATGGATGAGGATGAGGGGGCAGAGGGTGGGGTGGGAACCTGGTGGAGGGGGGAAGAAACGAGGAACCTGTGTAATAATATGAACAATAAAGGATTAAAAAAAAAAAAAAAAAAAAAAAAAAAAAAAAAAAAAAAAAAACATTAAGAACTTGGTCATTCTCATCACCCCGTGAAGTGACGTGGAAACCAGCACACACCCTGAGCCACTGGACAGAGACCCAGGACGCACTGAGCCTGTGTCAGCAGGGTTCCTCGCCCGCCTCCCCCGCCCCCCAAGGTCCCAGCACGGGTTTGGGGCTCACTTTGGGGCTGAAGGTGAGTGAGGTCGCGAAGGATGGTGCGGAAGGAGGGCCGCTGAGCGGGCTCATAGGTCAGGCACTGGCTGGTGAGTGTGGCTAGCTCCGGGCACGAGGGCTCGGCCAGCGGGTGCTGCTTCTGGTAGAAGTACTCTTTCTGTGGAGAAGGGGACCTGGAGAGTCAGTGACCCCACCCTCCCAAGGCCCCTTACCCAGGAGGCAGTTAAATCCCCAGACCAGCCAGGTCCTTGTTCCGTCATCCCCATTTTACAGATGAGGCAACCGAGTCTCGGCAAGGGGAAGCCAACTTGCCTGCCGCAGCAGAGAGAGGACTAGAACCCAAGTCCAGCAGACTCTGTTATGTGGAGCACCTCACCCTTGCCCCTTCCTGTCCTGGCTGCCACCCACCTTTGCTCCCAGCTCTGCAGACGCAGCTCCCAGAATGCACCAAGGCCTCTGGGTCTTTGAGTAAGGTGTGCTGAGGCGACCCTTCCCTAGCCCAGGCCACTGCGGTATTTCTATACTCAGACTAAAACTTCCTGGCCCTGCCGAAACCGGTTTAGCTCAGTGGATAGAGCGTTGGCCTGCGGGCTGAAAGGTCCCAGGTTCGATTCCAGTTAAGGGCATGTACATTGGTTGCAGGCACATCCCTGGTGGGGGTGTGCAGGAGGCAGCTGGTCGATGTGTCTCTCTCATCGAAGTTTCTGGCTCTCCTTTCCTCTCTGTGAAAAATCAATAAAAATATATTAAAAAAATAAAAATAAAAATAAAAAACCTCCTGGCCCTGGCCGGGCAGCTCAGTTGGTTAGAGCATCATCCGATAAGCCAAGGTTGCAGGTTTGATCTCTGGTCAGAGCACATACAAGCATCTCCCAATGAATGCATAAATAAGCAGAACAGACGTTTCTCTGTCTCTCTCTCCCTTAAAAAGACACACCGCAGCCCTTCCTCTGGGAAGTCTTGCTGGGTGCCTCCGCTGGGTCAGGGGTTCCCTCTGGGACTCTCTACAGCCTGTGCTTCCCCATCTCTGGCCTGGTCACTGCATCTAAAACTGAAGCAGTCACTTACTTAATTATTTTTTTATTCTCACCCAAAGATAGTTTTCCATTGATGTTTAGAGAGAGTGAAAGGGAGGGGGAGAGACAGAGAGAGAAACATTGATGTGGGAGATTGGATGCCTCCTGCACACCGATCAGGGCTGGGGATTGAGCCTGCAACTGAGGTATGTGTCCTTGATCAGGAATTGAACCCTAGACCCTGAGCTGACTGACACTCTAACCACTGAGAAAACCGGCCAGGGCAGCAGTCTCTGGTTTGCTGTGTGCCACCTCTGAGGTCGGGACTATAGATAATCCCAACTGACAGGTAACCTGATGGCGCCTCAAAGAGATGAGGCAGCGTTCGTAAGGCCACAGGCCGGAGGGCGACAGCTCTGGGCCAGGCCCCTAGACTCCTCGGGGGAGCTGGCCCCTTTGTGAGAAGGGCCCCAGGGTCACCCACATTGTACCTCGGAGGGGCCGCGGTCCTGCAGGGGGGCCTCCCCATCGAAGCAGATCTCCAGGAGCGTGGCGCCAAAGCCCCACTTGTCAGCGGCGGTGCTCAGGCTGTTAGCCCCACCAAACAGGCACTCGGGGGCGATCCAGGGGATCCGCTCTACCCGCTCTGGGGGCCAGGGCCAGAGGTCACCAAGGGTGAAGAGAGTGGGGTGCCCCGTCCCCATGCCCAGCCCGGCCCCAGTCCTCACCCTCCCTGGAGAGGGCGCCCAGGCCCATGCCAGGGTCGCTCAGTTTGATGAACGGGCTGGTGCCCTCCGCCAGCCCCAGACGTGCCAGCAGGATGTTCCGGCCACACACGTTTCCATGGGCCAGGCGCTTGTCCTCCTGGGGAAGGAAGGGGCGGGGGCGTGACCACGAGGGGCCTCTAGACCCTGCCCCCACCCCATCCCACAGGGACAGCCCGTGGGAAAACGACAGTCAGGGGCATTAGTGGGATCCCAATGCACGGCACTGTGACCGGACACCACTGGGTGCCCCGGGGGCCTTCCTGTCCTCCCAGAGCTGGTGGGGAAGGCTCCTGGACTGGAACAAAAGGCCAGAGGACCCGCTGCTGTCCTCAGACCCACGCCAGCCACACCCCTGCACTGCTACTCCTCCATCCTTCTCCGTCTGCTTACCACGTCACCTCTCCCCCAACCTCACTCCACCCTACGCTCCCAGAACGGTGCTAACCGCTTCCTAACATGTTATGTGACACACTTAATTATTACTCCTTGTTTCTCTCTCTAATAAAACCACTGGCTCCCCAAAGGACAGGGCTCCTGTCTGTTTTGTTGTGTGCTCCCGAGGCCTATGGCCGAGCCTGGCACACAGTGGGCGCTCTGGAAACAGGGTCAGAGAGCCAGGCGTGGCTGGGGATGAGTGGCAGGAGAGAGCGACAGAGGCGGCCGAGGCCAGGCCTCACCAGGCACCCAGCGGAGGAGTGAGGTGTTCTCTCAGGGGAGAGGGAGCCACAGGGGTATGTGAGCAGAGGAGGTGTGTGGAAAGAGCTCCCGGGGCCAGTGTGTGGATTGAAGGATGTGGTGAGGCCTCACCACCCAGAACTGGCCCACCCTGCTGACCCAGGCCCCGCCCACAGGCCACGCACCAGGTAGCTGAGGGCACTGGCCAGCTGCTGGGCCACTGCCACCTTCCAGGCCACAGGCACACGGCCCCTCTCCCGCCGCAGCCACACGTCCAGGGGTCCATGCTCCACGTACTCTGTCACCATGATATCTGCAAAGGCAGCTGCTGCAGGGGCTGCCACTGCCGCCACCCTCCGGGGCGCCGGGGGAGGGACACCGGGGCTGGGGCTGTGGGCGGCTGGGGCTTGGGAGCGACTTTGGGGAGAGAAGAATTGCAGGATGGAGCACAGGTTGAGGTGGGTGCAGGGTGCGGCAGAGGCGAAGGGTGGAAGATATGTAGAGTCAGGTGCAGGCTGGTGTCAGGGGAGAGCAAGAGAGATGGACACATGGAGTTCAGGTTCTGTGGTCGCGCTGTGCAAGGAGTTTGAGGTACGCAGGGGTGGGGCAAGGGCTGAGGTTTTGGGGGATCGGAGTGCCCAACATGGCTGGGGTCTGCATGGGGTCACAGTCCTGCTGGGGTCAGAGGGCAGACGGTAGAGGCATCTGGGTGGTGGGTGAAGGATGGGATGCAGTCCGCAGTCAGGGTGTGGTTGAGGGTTGGGGTGCAGGTAATGGCCACGGTATAGTCAGAGGCTGTGCTGCAATGGGTTGGCGTAAGCCAGGGGTTGGGGTACAGGTGAGCCACAGATTGCGGGATAGTCAGGATGTTGGTCAAGGGTCGGTGTGTGGTCAGGGATCGGGATGCAGGTCAAGGGTTGGGGTACAGCCGTGGCAGTGGGTACGAGTGGGGGGCGTGGGCCTCTACACGGCAGGGCGTGCGTGTTGGGGTCCACTCACTCACTTTTGGAGCCATGCACGCAGACTCCGTGGACGAAGGTCAGGTGCACGTGGGACACCTGGCTCATGAGGCTGGCCGTCTCGTAGAAAGCCTGGGAGGGCAGGGCAGGGCAGGGCAGGGCAGGGCAGGGCAGGGCAGGGCAGGTGGCCGCAGACCCTGCCGCCCTCCCTGCCCCCGTCACACGCACTTACCAGGGCGATGTCATGGTGACTCGGGTCTAACACCTTCAGCACCACTCGCAGCTCCTGCCCACGGCCCCCGCCGGGCAAGGTGGGGTCCCCAGCATCCGCTTTGTCCTCCTCGGGGCCTCCGCCCCCAACTCTCAAGAGGCCCTCGTACACATTGGTCCTCGTGCCCTGGCCCAAGTGGGACAGCTGGGGGGACATGGCAGGGGACATCTCCATGACAACAGCTGGTGGCTGCCCTTCCCGTCCCCTCTGTGCCGCACGCCCGCACACACCTGGGTGAGGTCCTCCTGGCAGACCCGGTGGAAGCTGAGCTGGCTGAGGTTGAGAGACCTGGTGCTGGCCTGAGGTCCGCGCATGATGATGAGGTTGGAGATCTCTGGGGGGCGGGAGCAGGGTCACGGAGGGCTAGCGTGGGGGGAGCCACCCTCCCGCCCCGCGGGCCCCGTCGTCACACCTCCCGGCTGCGGCAGGCAGCAGTGGCGCAGGGCGAAGCAGTGGTCACCGGCCCGCAGGGAGCAGCCCTGCAGGGCGGCCCGCAGCTCCCGCACGCTGGGGAAGGACCGGTCCCAGCTCTGCAGCCTGAAGGTGCCCTCACGCAGCTCGATGGGGAACTTCCACAGGCGCAGACCCTGCGTGCCGGGGGCCTGGGGCGGGCGGCAGGGCGAGGGCGGTGGGCAGGGGTCTAGGCAGGGAGTACACCCGAGCCCAGCCCAGTACCCCCGCCCCAGGCCCACCTGGTCCCGCTGGGCCACCGTGAGGAGGAGGCGGTGGAAGTGGCTGGTGCTCCAGTGGATAAGATAGAGGCCGTCCTCCCGCTGCATCTTGGCCAGCACAAAGGGATCCCTGGGGAGGACAGGAGGCGGCGTCAGGGGGCACGCTGGGCCCCACCCGCCCAGAGAGGCACACACATACACGCCAACTCACACAGAGACACAGGCACAGGAACAGGCACATGTGTGCGTGCCTGTCAGACAAGACACCATCGCTGACACAGTGACACACACACACAGACAGGCATCAGCTGTCAAATGCTGATGGGCACACGCCCAGCCATACACTCACAGGGTGACAACACACAATGAACCGCCTGTCACACAGCTGCTTACCCAGCGGAACAAGGCAATGCAGGGCCTCAACAGCCCAGACCCAGAGGCGACGACCGTCATGAGCACGGACACTGCGACACAGGCCCAGGCGCCAGCATGTGTGGCGCACATGCTGCTGGGGACTGAAGGATGGTGCCCCCCTAAAGCTCCCATGTTGAAGCCCTAACCCCCAATGGGATGGGATGGGAGGTGGGGACTTTGCAGGGTGATTATGTCATGATGATGGAGCCCTCATGGATGGGATTGATGCCTCATGAAATGGACCCCAAAGAGCTCCGGGCCCCTTCCCCACCATTGAGGACACGGAACTAGGAAGTGGGCCCTCACCAGACACAGGGTGTACTGGTACCTTGAACCTGGACATCTGGCCTTCAGAACTGTGAGAAATAAATGTCTGTTGTTCCTAAGCCAGCTGGTCTATGGCAGTCTGTTGGAGCAACCCGCACGGACTAAGACACACTGACGTGGCCAATCTCTGAGTGGCACACACTTAGCCGTGACAGGCACAGCTCTCAGGAGGGGAAACGGCCACTTCACCCTCCTCTGCAGTACAGACCAGGCTCAGACCGCGTAGGAACCCTCAGGCAAGTCGCAGAGCTACAGGGAGGACAAAGGACATGCGGGCACAAGGCCAATGACCAGAGGAGCTGACAGCCACTAACCACGACCTGGCAGCACGCAGGACGGCCACACAGGCATCTGATCGCCACATAAGCACGGGCACGTCATAGCCTCTACCCCACAAGTCCAAACAACCGCTCAGTGACCCACAAGTAGCAGGGCAACACACATCTGTGGGGCTGTACACACCCACACATATTTCTGAATGACCAGCGATATTTGTACAACACCCCCCCTAAAACCAGCCATCACAGCACATGTGAAAATGTGTGGTGACAATTTTATATGCAGTCACTGGAGCAGTGACACTGCCGCACATCACATGGGTTATCCAACATCCAGACGTGCACAGCGACAGTCCCAAATCCAGGCCCCCTCAGCACGACATGCCGCCTGACCCCTGCAGGTGTTCTCACCCCCTCTATAATCCCTGGTGCATACTTGCATGCATGCACACGGACAAGCACACATGTGGGTGCACTTGCTCATAAGCATACATGAATGAGCACACCTATGCACTCACAGATATGAATGGATGCACACAGTGGTATGAGTAAATACTTAAACACGTAACTCATGCTCGCGCAGGCAAACACGTGCTCACATTCACAGGTACAGACCAGACACAAATGCTTGCACACACATGCTCACACACACTCGCACAAGTGCATGCACACAAGCATCTCATTTGAGCCCCACAGTCCTTCAGAACTCAGGGTCCAGCTGGCAGCTGCTGCCACCACCACAGTCCCTGCCGCCCAGCCTCCCTCCAGGCACTCACAGCAGGGGTCCGTGGACACCGTCCTGGATACTCGTCACCAGCCGTGGAGGCGCCACCTCGTGGCACAGGTAGTGGTTCGAGTCAGCCGTCAGGCGGAAATAGCCATCCACCAGCGACACCAGGGACAGGGCGGCGGCCGGGGAAGGCAGGGTCAGCTCCTAGAGGCCACGGGGATGTCAGGCGGGCGTCACCGGCTGCGGGTGCCCCGCGGCCCGGCCCTCAGCCCAGCCCCGTCTCGGGCCCCACCAGGCGCTTGTCCTGACAGTGGATGCTGACGTGGCACTCTCTCAGCACCACGTGGGTGATGTCCTGGAAGTCACAGAAGAAGGCCCACGGCGCCTCCCGCGGCCCGTCCACAGGCTGGCCGCCCAGCGGCTGGGCCTTGGCTTTCCTCCCAGCGGAGCCGGATTGGGAAGTCCTGCCTCGGCCACCGTCACCACCGCTGGGACTCTGGAAACCCCGCGCCTGGGGAGGGTGATTTGAGCAGGGCTATGTCTGTTAACCGCCCCCCCCCCGCCCCATTCCCCATGGGGGAAGCCTGGAGCTGGAGGGACCAGGAAGTCTCAAGTCATGAGTGTCACAGGTGGGACCAGGGACCCACCTGCCAGAAGCGGAACCTCGGGGAGGGCAGAGAGGAGGATCCCACCACTCTCATCCCCAAATCCAAAGGGGCTCCCAGAGGTACAGACCCCAGAAATCGGGTCCCCAGGGGGCAGGCAGAGGACACAGACCCCAGGGAACAGAAGGACACACCCGGGAGCCCTGAGGGGAAAGGCCTCGCCATAGTCCCCCTCAGAGACCACGGCCAAGGTTGAACGGGAGCTCCCGCCCGACCCCACCTGGACCCCCAGACGGAAGAGGCACCCTGCTCACCTCTGTCTGCACTGGCCGCCACTGGATGCCGCCAGTGCCAGTCACCAGCACCTCGTGGGTGGGCGGTTCGACCGCAGGCTTGGGCTTGGGGTCTCCGGGGGCCTGTGCACCGTCCTGGACGTAGCAGGGCTCCCCCTCGGCCTGGGCCAGCAGCTCGAGGCGGCGCACAGGCACACGCTCCGCACCGAAGCGGGGCGCCAGCCGCTCCAGGGTGGCCAGGTACTTGACCATGACGACCTGCTGGGAAAGGCTGCCCGGCTGGAAGGCGTGCAGGAACCTGCGGAAGATGATCCGCAGGCGGAGCTGGGTGAACGCGTTGTACTGCCGGATCTGCTGCCGGAGAGAGCGCGGGATACAGTCCTTGAAGCTGTGGAGGTGACCAGGAGGGGCTGGTGAGGGGCCCGGGCTGCGGGCCTGGCTGGGTGACATGAGGCAAACGACTTAACTCCCCTGAACCACAGCTGCCTCGTTCAGAAAACGGGCAGGCTGTCGTGAGGTGGAAGGAGAGAATACGATAAAGGGCCAGCACAGGGAGGCTGGACGGTGGCGGGAACAGGGCACAGGACTCAGGAGAGGACCATGGGGCTGAAGTCCCAGTTCTTGGATAACTAACGTAAGCTCTATAAGGCTGTCTGCTCATCTGAAAAAAGGGTGCAAACAGCCGGAACCGGTTTGGCTCAGTGGATAGAGCGTCGGTCTGCGGACTGAAGGGTCCCAGGTTCAATTCCGGTCAAGGACATGTATGTAGGTTGCGGGCACATCCCCAGTACGGAGTGTGCAGGAGGCAGCTGGTCGATGTTTCTCATCGACATTTCTAGCTTTCTATCTCTCTCCCTTCCTCTCTGTGGAAAATCAATAAAATATATTAAAAAAAAAAAAAAAAAAAAAAAAAAAAGGGTGCAAACAGTGCCCACCTACAGGGCTGATGACAGAATAAGAAGGGCTATGTCAGTGTCAGCTGTTATTATTACTGAAGGCGCTATGAAATTTATCATTAATATTATGATCACCAATAAAAGGCACACCTCGGGGGGCCCCTCTGCTCTTCACAAGGCCTGCCCCACTAACACATCTCCCCATCACCTACCAGTGGAGATCCCCTAGGTTACAGGTTTCCAAGACTCAGTCTCTATGTCCTTGGCCTTCTCAAGGCTCCCGTTCCCCCTCTCCCACCTTCCCTCCCCACCAGAGGGATCCTAAAGTTTGAGGTCCTTTTTTTTTTTTTTTTTTTTTTTAATATATTTTATTGATTTTTTACAGAGAGGAAGAGAGAGGGATAGTTAGAAACATTGATGAGAGAATCATCGATCAGCTGTCTCTTGCATACCCCCTACTGGGGATGTGCCCGCAACCAAGGTACATGCCCTTGACCGGAATCGAACCCGGGACCTTTCAGTCCGCAGGCCGACGCTCTATCCACTGAGCCAAACCAGTTTCGGCAGCTTGGGGTTCTAGCTACCTTTCGCCCCCGCTTCCACGCCTTCCAGGGCTCCCTCCTGCCCTGGGGAAACGGCCCCCTGACTAATGTCTTGCCAACTCCTGCGCCTGAGCAATCATCCTCTACATCCAGTTCCCCTGGAAATAGGCTTTTGCCATCTTCTGCCTCTGGGCCTTTGTATATGCTATTTCACTTGCCTGAATGCTTTGCCAAGACAGTCCACACCTGGGTAAAGATAACTCAACCTTTAGGACTTTAATAATTTTAAAGACAATGTATTATTATTGATTACAGAGAGGAAGGGAGAGGGAGAAAGAGACAGAAACATCAATGATGAGAAAGAACCATTGATTGGCTGCTTCCTGCACGCCCTCCACTAGGGATTGAACCCACAACCCCGGGCATGTGCCCTTGACCTGAATTGAACCTGGGACCCTTCAGTCTGCAGACTAACGCTCTATCCACTGAGCCAAACTGGCTAGGGATCAACCTTTAGGTCTGAGCAGAAATATCACCTCCCCTGGGACGTGTTCTCTGGTCTCCAGGCTGGATAGGCTGCCTCCTCTGGGTTTGCTAGCACCCTGGGCTTCGTTTGCTGTCACAGCCCTAATCACAGCCCTAATCTTCAGAACAGGGACTGAAAAATATGTGCTTTAAGAAGAACTGCTGGTCCTAAAAGACGCAGATTTTCTGCTGCCTCATCCAGCCAGTGTGCCCTGATTACTCCAGCCCTTAGCGATGGAGGTAAACACAGCTAACTCATTCCTTTCCTTGAATTCTAAGAAGTTCACTAAGCTCACCCTATTCTATGCCAACATATCAGGCATAGTCTGGCCTCAGGTCCTTTGCACTAGCTGGTCCTTCTGTATAAAATTCTCTTCTCCCAGATATCCATATTGGCTTCCTCTTTTACTTCCTTCAAATCATTGAATGTGACCATCACCTGCTCAGTGAGAAGTTCCCCAGCTACTCAATTTTAAATTATATACCCCTCATTCCCTGACATTCCCCTTCTTTCTCTTTTCCTACTAATTTCCCCCCATTGCACTTTATCACCATCTATAATACTATACATTTTACTTTTTTTTATTTTTATTTTTTTTTATTGCCTGTCTTTTTCACCAGGTGTGAGCACCAAGAGGGCAGGGATTTTTGTCTGACTTGTTCACTGGTGTGTCCTTCAACAACCACAACGGGTGTCAGCATACAGGAGGTGCTCAATAAATGAAGGCATGGCAGTATACAAGGTCTCTGCCCTGGCCCCCGGATGCCCACGAGTATCCAACCACCTCCACAGTGTCTCTGCCCCACTCCCAGGCACCTGGTCTTCTTGGCCACCTTCTCCAGGGGAACACCGCGGCAGAGAGCAAGGTGACAGAGGTGCAGAAAGGCCATGCCCAGGCTCTCGTTCTTAAAGTGGCGGATCTCCTCCTCACTCGACAGCTCCCACAGCGATGCCACATCATTCACAAACTCATGCTTGCCCTGGGGTGGGGAAATCAGATAGAAAGGGAGGCCTGAAAACCTGTTCACACCTCAGCTTCTGGCCACTTTGGGAGGGAAAGGCTGAATATACAGCATGCATGACCATGCCTGTGGCAGACATCACTAATCGATCACAGTGCTCGTTCCCATGCAATCCTAAGATTCTCAGGACCCTTTGGTTCACGTAGAAAAAGGACCCCAGGTTGCATGAGCTGAAACCTGCCAGCTATAATTGTAGAAAGAAGTGGGGGCGCCTCAGCTGCCCCTCAGTCCCCCTGAAATAATCCGACGTCCCAGCCCTGCTCCTACCTGCTCAAAGAGGTACTCAAAGGAGGCGGGGTCCAGGAGCTGTATCCCCTGCTCTGCCTGTTCTGACGAGGCCTCGGCCCCTGGGGGCCTGCAGCGATACACAGCTGGCTCCTGAGGGTTTGTGCCATGCCAGTTCCGGAAGTAAAACCTACAGGAAGGGAAGGGCACAGCTAGGGCTGAGCATCGATTCAGCTCCAGGAAGATGAGATTCAGGGGAGAGAAGAGACCGAACACATGGGGACAAGTCTTCCCACAGGTCTTCACCCACCTCATGCGGAAGTGCAGCGTCAAGTTTGTGTCTCTGGAGACCTCGAGAATGTGGTTTGGGGGCAGCCAGACCTGGGCCTGGGCATCAAAGAGGGCAAAGAGATTGAAACAGGGTGGAGTGATGCCTGAAACAGGGAAGAAACAACATCCGGAGTCAGCGCCTGCTGCCATGATCCTACGGGCCCCCAGACCCACTGTCTCCCCTCACAAGCCTTCCCAAGGCCCCCCCGCCCCCCCGCTGACAGAGAATAATGCAGTATGTTGACCGTGCTGTGGCCTCACAGCAGACCACATTTCCCAGCCTCCTTTGCAGCTTGGATGGGGCCAGTGGATTGGTTTCTGGCCAATGGGATGTGAGCAGACAGATACGCATACTTCCAGGCCTGGAAACAAACTCTCCTGCCATCTTTCCAGCCCCAACGATGATGGAGACTCTTTGTGTTAGGTGGTGAAACATAAGATAGAGGTGAACCATCTGACCTGCATTTGATTTTAGGTGCCTTTATTGTTTTAACCCAGGAAAATCACAGGTTGGGGGGATTGCTTGTTACTGCAGCTAAACTTACCCTAGACTGACTAACATAACTCTATTCTGATCTCTGAATTGCAGCCGGGAAAACATACCTAACTACCTCCTGGTTGCCCCCTCCTGAATGTCATAGGCTCCCTTAGAGGTGCTTGTTCCAAACAGATCTCGTCCAAGCTCCCCACACCTGCCCCTCTTGTGCCTAGTCCTTTTTTAAAACGTTTTTCTTGACTTTTTTTTAGAGAGTGAGCAAAGGAGAAAGAGAGGGAGAGAGGGAGGAAAAAAAGAGAGAGAGAAGAAAGAGAAAATCATTGACCAGATGCCTCCTGCATGCACCCTGACCCACCTGGACCAGGGATCAAGCCCACAACCTGGGCACCTAATCTCCTCCATAATCTCCCCCATTCCCTGACCAGGATTTGAACTGGCAACCTTTCAGTGCCCAGGATGACACTCAACCAACTGAGCCACACCAGCCAGGGCCTCTGTCCAGTTCCTTAAGCCAGGACTTGGTCCTTGTTCTCAACTCCTCCCACCCTCTTCACTTCGGATGGGTAAAAGTCCTGCTCTTTCTAAATCCAACATTCTCTAGGATCCAGCCACTTCCTTCAAATCCACAGCCCAGGCCGAGTCCAGCCTCTGGACTTGCCGTCATTCCCCACAATGGCCACCCGAGGCATTTTTAAAAGACACATCACTGCCGAAACCGGTTTTGGCTCAATGGATAGAGCGTCACTCTCTCTCATTGATGTTTCTAACTATCTCTCTCCCTTCCACTCTGTACAAAATCAATAAAAATATATATTAAAAAAAAAAAAAGACACATCACTAATTTTTTAATATAAAATAGTCCTTTTAGAATAACTCATAATCACCTAAGTACCAGCCACCAGATAAAGAAGTAAAACTTAGCCGAAACCGGTTTGGCTCAGTGGATAGAGCGTCAGTCTGCGGACTGAGGGGTCCCAGGTTCGATTCCAGTCAAGGGCATGTACCTCGGTTTCGGGCACATCCCCAGTAGGGGGTGTGCAGGAGGCAGCTGATCAATGTTTCTCTCTCATCGATGTTTCTAACTATCCCTCTCTCTCTTCCTCTCTGTAAAATATCAATAAAAATATATTTTTTAAAAAAGAAGTAAAACTTAGAAAGTACAATTGAAGCCCCCCGGCTATATCCACTTCCGTTTTCCTCCCACAAAGAGGTAACCATATTCCTGACATAGAATTTATTATTTTCATATCCTCTAAGATCTAATCTTGAATATTATAAACGGAAAATGTGGTATCATACCACCGGTACCCTGCAACTTGCTTTTCCATGCTTCTGATGATACTTGTAACATTGGTTAAATTCCCTTTTCGTGGCTATATAGTATTCCAGTGTACAACCATAGGGCTGTTTATTTGTGCATGCCCCTGCAGAGGGACTTAAAGATGGTCTCCCATTTTTTCACGAAGATACACGAGGCAGCTCTAAACATTCTCAGATGCGTCTCCTGGAACACGTGAGCTGAGGGTCTGTATGGTGAGTATCTACTCGTGTTTCCCCGAAAATAAGACATCCTCCAAAAATAAGACCTAGCGCATGGAAAGATAAGACATCCCCTGAAAATAAGACCTAGCGCAACTTTGGGAGGAAAATTAATATAAGACACTGTCTTCTTTTCGGGAAAACAGGGTAGGAGTAGAGCTGTGTGGCCTCAGACATTGTACATTCCAACCGTGTTGGATGATGCCAAATGGCTGTCCCTGCATCCCAGCGTACCGCCTCGCGCAGAAGGAGAACGCCTCCCTGTGAGACACCTGCCTGAAGAGCCCATCTCACTGCGTCCTTCTCTGGCTTTCAATTCCTCCTTTCCCTTCCAAATTCTTGAAACTGACACTCCGGTTACTCTTACTTTTGCTTCCTCAAACTGAGCAGGCTCTCCTCACATGCCAGGCCCTCTGACAGACATGTTCCACATCACCCAGCACATCCGAGGGTTTTTAAAAATATATATTTTATTGATTTTTTTAAAATATATTTTATTGATTTTTTACAGAGAGGAAGGGAGAGAGATAGAGAGCTAGAAACGTCGATGAGAGAGAAACATCGAGCAGCTGCCTCTTGCACAATCCCTACCGGGGATGTGCCCGCAGCCAACGTACATGCCCCTGACTGGAATCGAACCTGGGACCCTTCAGTCCGCAGACCGACGCTCCACCACTGAGCCAAACCGGTTTCGGCATTTTTATTGATTTTTTTACAGAGAGGAAGAGAGAGGGGATAGAGAGTTAGAAACATCGATGAGAGAGAATCATCAATCAGCTGCCTCTTGCACACACCCCCACTGAGGATGTGCCTGCAACCAAGGTACATGTCCTTGACCGGAATCGAACCCAGGACCTTTCAGTCTGCAGGCCGCCGCTCTATCCACTGAGCCAAACCGGTTTCGGCCCATCTGAGCTCTTTTAAGAATCAGCCGCTGGTTGAAAAGCACAAGGTGGTGTAGAAATCCACCAGAAGGCCCCATCCGGTTATGGGGGACGGAGTTTGGGAGGACTTCCTGGAGGAAGGGGCATGTAAGCAAAGTCCCCTTGGAGCGACCTCCTCCTCCTCTGGCAGAGGAAGTACACTTTTGAGCACATCTACTACAGGCTCTCCCAGCTATCCCCTGGTTCCTGACTGCTCTCAAGAAAAAGTCTAAACTCGCAATTCCTCCCTCTGGCGTTTAAGGCCCTGACTGACCTCTCCCCCATAACCTCCCACCTGGGAATCACCTCTGCCATGGCCTCCCTACTCCCACCCTCACCCCTACAGCAACCAGAGAATACCTGTGAACACCTGAGTCCCGCCAGGTCCCTCCTTTGCTCACAGCCCCACCTCACTTGGAGTAAAATCCGAAGTCCTCCCTGAGGCCCACAAGGCCCGGCATGACCTGCACTGTCCACCTCCTTCCCCTCACTTACTCCTGCCTCCTCTCGTTCACACTGAGCTGTCGCTGACAAGTTCCCACCTCAGGGCCTTTGCACATGCTGTCCCCTGAGCCTGGTACTCACCTCCCCCCAGATATCCCCGTGGCTCCCTCTCTTAACGCCTTAAGTTTTAAATTTCCCCCATGATCTATCTCTGCCCTCCTACACAGTTTTCTTATTTATTATGATTTCCCTATGAGAACATCAGTGATTTGGGGCTGGCACATAATAGGCACTCACTCAGTGTCTTCCGAATGAACAGGCGGACGACGGATGGGGTCCAGCTGTTGCCAAAGCCCCCACCCCTGCCATGGGACTCACCGATTTTTTGTGCGATGTGAATGCAGACCTCCTCTGCGGTCAGGGTGGCCTCGCTGAAAGTGACCCAGGGCTCCCTGCTGCCAGGGCCTGCCCAGTGCAGGAACACCTTCAGGCCTCCCGTGATGGCCGTGAGCTGAGCTTCGCCCCCATCCGGCTTGCTGGCCCTGGCGGTGGCCCCCCCATGGCGCCGAGGCATGCTCCTGACAGCTGGCTTGGCTGCGAAGGGACAGCCCATTAGTCCCCAGGCCTCAGCCCCGAGGTTCCTGTTAGCACCACAGCCTGCTGCCCCTTTCGACTGAGGCCAGAGGGAATAGTCTGAACTCCCCTTGCTCTGCAACCTCAAGCACCCAATTCCCCTCCCTGAGCCCCAGTTTCCACATGTTTGATGGAGTTGGGGTATGCATCCCCACCTTTTAGATCTGTCATGAACAGTAACAGCATCCAACTTCTTCACTGAACTAACTAGCACCAATGCAAAAACCCGTTCTCAACACATTATTCCCAAAATAACCAGGCAGGCAGGTGTGGTCAAACGAACCTGGGGGGTGAATCCGGGAGCTCCCTGTGTCACCTCAGGTAGTCACTTAGCTACTCCGGGCCTCAGTTTCCCCATCTGGAGAACGAAGATGCTGAGACCGCTGCCATCAAAAGATGGCCGTGCCGTTTCAACACAATTCCGCATGTTCCTATGTTCAGCACAGACCTTGGTATAGGCTTGAAAAAAACACCACCACCACACAAATATGACAAAAACAAGAGTAAAATCATTATTTATTGGTTTCATTCTCATGATGGCTTTTTCTCTTTTAAGCTAAGATTCCTTTTCTCCCACATCCACCCCCATGAGTGACCTCTGGCCCTCTTTCTTGCCTAAGCCTAGGAGGCGTTTAGTCCAGCTCTCTCCTCCCAAACTAGCTCCCAGACTTTTTGAAGGCCAGGCCCAGGCCCCCTGAAGTCTCCAGTACCTCCAGGGAGGGACTGTCAGCCATCCCACTGATCTTGTTGATTTAAGACAAAACAATGGCGGGAAGAGGAGAATGTTGTAATGTGGGATTCCCCAGCAATGAGCTTCTCTCTCTGAGCCAGTTTCCTCATTTCGAAAACGGGCATGTAAAGGTCTCTCCCTCAAAGACGAGGGGAGGCTTCCCTGCGAGGAGGCAGTTTGGAAAAGGCTGTGCAGAGGGCCTGGGCCCTTGATAAATGTCTACTATTATTGTCCATTCACATTTAGAATAAGGTCGTGGGGATGGGGAAACTTTTGGGGTGCCCACCCTTCTCCGCCCAGAACCAGCTTTGGGTCGGGATGAGGTCGGCCCTCGGGAAGTCCGCACGCCGCACAGCCAAGCCTCCCACCCCTGCGGGGCGGGAAATGTGCGGAGCACCCACCGGGCATGGACCAGTCCCGAGGCGGCGGCCGCTTCCATCCACCTCCTGCAGAGCGTGGCCAGGCCCGCACCGCCCGCCGGCCGCATCCTTCCAGACGGCCTCCAGCTGCCTCTTGCACAGCCTTTCCGTGGCCTCCTCCACACTCACCCTTTCCCGGGGACTCCGGCTCGAACCCGGGACCCAGTCCTACCACCGCAGGCAGCCGCCGCCGGACCTCCGCCGAGATGCCGCCTCCTTCAGGGGCCACCCGAGGAGGGCGCGCTCATTGGCTGCCATGGAACCAATTGCGCTCCTATTGGTCCCCGGCTCGCCTTTCGCTCAACTGCGATTGGCTCGATCGCCTGCCGGAAGTGCCGCAGCGCCAGCGATTGGCTGACCGGAGGTGAGAAGACGCGGATAGGAGTCCGCACCGGCGGGCGGAAGAGTGTGGTTTTCTGGGGCCTCTGCGTTCTCAATGGCCCTGTTTATCTTGGACTTCCGGACCTGACCCCGGTGTGAGCCCCACTTCCTCTTTTCCGAGGTCAAGGCTGCAGCCGCGCGCCAGCCACTCAGCCCTCCCACCCTCTGCCTCGTGTCTGCCTGGCCAGCCCACGTCGCTGGCCGAGCCCCCCTCCTCCAACACAGGAGGCATCTCCCTCCCCCCACTTGCTCGCATCTCTTTCACCCCGTCCTCCGAGGCCCCCTTGCTGTCATTAGCAGCGTGGATGTCCCTCCTAATTGGGGTTCTAATCCATCCCCAACCCCACCCGGCACAGCGAGTCGCTGTCCTTTGACAGAGAAGGAAATCCTGGCAGCAGTCCTGAGTGTTGGCTCTTACACCCATTTCTCAGAGAAACAGGCACAGAGGGGGCCACAGACTCTTTCCTTAACCAAAATGTAGTCTTCTGAGCCATCTTTCCGCTAGCCTTCGACCTTGGCCTATGTTCTGTCTTTGCCCAGTCCAGTCTGAGCAGACTCCTGCTAAGTTAGTGATTCCCAACATGGGGCACACGCCCCCCAGGGGAGGCAATTTGATTTTTAAAAATATATATTTTATTGATTTTTTTACAGAGAGGAAGAAAAAGGGATAGAGTTAGAAACATCGATGAGAGAGAATCATTAATCAGCTGCCTCTTGCACACCCTCTGCTGGGGATGTGCCCACAACCAATGTACATGCCCTTGGCCGGAATCGAACCCCGGACCTTTCAGTCCACAGGCCGACGCTTTATCCACGGAGCCAAACCGGTTTTGGCGGCAATTTGATTTTTAAGAAAAGCAATTCGAGGATGAGTTATTAACTGAAGTTTTTTTTGCATTTCTTATGGTTCTAGGGGCCTCATACACAGTATATAAATATAGAATGACATATTTATGCATTTCGGTTCTCTTATATGTTTTAAAACTTCATTTGCTATTTTTTCATATCAGTTCATATTATTTTAAAGAGACAATTTCTTAGTGATTTCTTCCTCAATACTTCAACTATCTTCTTGTTCTTTTATTTTTCTCTTTCAGGAATGCCATGGTCTTTGAAAGCTTGTTTAGACCAAGTTGGTGGCCTTTTAGACTTTCTCCATGTGAATAGGAGTTCACTTTTTGAATAATAAGGATTATATGTCACAGGGGGGGCATCAGGATTTAAAGTTGCTTAAGTGGGGAGCATTATCTCAATCTGTTGAGGTTCTGCTTCCCGGCATATGTCGACAGTTTGGCTCAAATAAACTCACAAAAATTCAAATAAATAAATAAATAAAGTTGCTTAAGTGGGAGCCACTGTTCTCAGTCATCCCACCGCCCTTGATATCTAGTCAAGTTCCTCATCCTTCATCTTTGATGCATATAAGTCCTTGGCCTCTCTTTAGCAAGAATTCTCAGTTCCATTTAGCCAGAGTCCCTCTACCCTTGATGTCTCTTCTTAGTCATTTTCCATCCATAGACAACACCCCCTCCCTTGGCTCACAGCTGTCATTGCTGTATTCAGAATTGAGCCTGATCTCTCAACCCAGTTACAATCCCCTATTGTAGTGTTTCCCAAACTTTTGACATATGTGTACCCCTTCTATAATTTCCATAACGCTGAGTACCCCTCGTACTCATGAGAACATAGAATTAGGCGCAGCTAAGCACGGTGCAGTGCATACCCCCACCAAACTCCCGTGCAACGCGTACCCCTACCAAACTCTTCCCGTACCCCTGGGGAACACTGCCCTATTGCATAGACCCGGATCAAGTCTTCCTTGTCCTTTTAGCAAGCGTCAGAATAATATTTTCTTTAACAGAGTTTAAGTTAAAGAAAATATTATTTTTCAGATCACGGCACAAAAGGGCAATCAGAGCCCTAACCGCTGTGGCCAAGGACACATGGCTACCCCTTTCTGAGTCTGAGAACATATGGGGAAAGATAGATTCTTCCTCGCAGGGCAGCTATGGAGGCCCAGTGTGAACTAGTGGAGACTGAGCCTGGTGCCCGGGAAACTGGGGGCTGAGGGATTCATCCATAGCATGCAGTTGGAGGGAAATGGAGGGACTTGTACTGACATGGAGACATGTCCGGAGTGTCTATAATAAAGGAGAGGGCCTAGCCAAGGTGGCTCAGTGGTTGAGCATCAACCCATGAACCAGGATTCCCGGCCAGGGCACATGCCTGGATTGTGACCTCCATCCTCAGTAGGGGGAGTACAGGAGGCAGCCAATCAATGATTCTCTTTCATCACTGATGTTTCTCTCTCTCTCTCTCCCTCCCCATCTTCCTTCCTCTTTCTGAAATCAATACAAATATATTATGTTTAAGAAGGAGTGGAATAAAAGGGATGTATTGTTGTTGGAGAAGATGACCAAGAGGACATGACTACCAGTTGACCCTCGAGCTGGTCCTGGTCAAATTGGAGGCTCCTCATCTTCCCCCTGACTTTGGAATGTGCACGTTACTACTGTCCCCTCAGTGGGAACTGCTGCAATGACACAGCCTTAGGTGTGGTGGAGACCATCCAAGTATGCTTGAATACGTGACTGGACCCCGTTAAGGCCTCTATATAAACTTCTAAGATTCTGGTGGGCAGGGGCGGGGACCTACTCATCTGGTGCTTGTCCAAGACAAGCCTCGCATGTAAGTCCCGTTGCTTATTAAACCCGCCACCTGTGTTGCCGAAACCGGTTTGGCTCAGTGGATGGAGCGTCGGCCTGTGGACCAAAGTGTCCCACGTTCGATTCCGGTCAAGGGCACATGCCTGGGTTGCTGGCTCGGTCCAATGGGCTGGAGGCAGCCAATCAATGATTCCCTTTCATCATTGATGTTTCTATCTCTCTCTTCCTCTCTGAAGTAAATAAAAAAAATATTTTTAAAAAACACACAAAAAACAAAACACTTTCATGGGCTTCACTTGTGGGCCCAGTTTTTTTTAAAAAAATCAACTATTGCCGAAGCCAGTTTGGCTCAGTGGCAGAGCATTGGTCTGCAGACTGAAAGGTCCCAGGTTCGATTCCAGTCAAGGGCATGTATGTTGGTTGCAGGCACATCCCCAGTAGGGGGTGTGTAAGAGGCAGCTGGTCGATGATTCTCTCTCATTAATGTTTATAACTCTTTATCTCTCTTCCTCTCTGTAAAAATTCAATAAAATATAGGGGAAATTTTTTTAAAAAAAATATCAACTACTCAGGTTAAGAAACAAACCACTCCCCAGACGCTCCTCATTCTGAACCAGTGAAGTCATCTCTCTGTTCCTTGGTCTGATGTAGTTTTCTTCATGGCCTATGACGACCTGACCTTTCACTGGCCGTTTCTGACTTAAACACCTGGCTTCTGTTCTAGGATGTCAGCTCCACCAGGGATGTCAGCTCCACTGTCCTCAGCACCTGGAGCTGTACCTGGCACAACTAAAGCTGGTGGAAGCAGGAGGAGGGCCTTCACCCAGTTGCCAAACAGCCCCCCATCCCCACCCCCTGCACCTTTCTCCTCCCTGACAATCTGGCCTTCCCAAACTGATTTTTTTTAAGTGACTAATAATATACCAATAATGGTAATAATCCCAGTAATCATAATAAATTTTAATAATAGCTCCATTGTCCCAGCCTGGATGTCGGCCCCAGGGCTGGGTGCTTAGAACTCTTCCGTTCTTTCTTTCTTTTTAAAAATATGTTTTTATGAATTCTAAATTTTTAATGAATAAATTAAGTAATTTATTTATTTATTATTAATCCTCACCTGAGGGTATTTTTTCCTCAACCGAGGATTTTTTCTCTTTCAAATCATTTTAATAACGTGGCAGTCAAAATATGAAAAGCAGACTCAAACTTGTTTTCTTTAAGGCGGGGTGCTACCATGATTGCTTCACACAAGCATGCTCCAAGCCTTAGATCGAAGCCTTAGATTCTAAGGTAATGATGACTCCGATTCCAAAGAGCAAGGTGGTAAGAAGGCTTCGAGGCTCACAGACGGAAAAGCCTGCTTTCGGAAAAGCCTCAGAGGAGAGACATGAAATGCAAGGGGCCTTCACAGTACAGGGTGCGACTGCTGAGTCACCAGCACCTTGAAACATTTCTTGATGGTGACTCGGTGTCTGGAGTATTTGTCGTCTGGGGACAACCGAGCAGGATGGGCCGAGCAGGTCTGTTGTCCCAGAGGATCAAACTTCTTCAGGGTATAGACCCGGTCCGCCTGTTCATTGAGGTAATACTGGAGAAACATGATCTCGCTGAAGCAGGAGGCTCCAATGCCATCTACGATTCTCTATCAAGGGTTACTGGATCAATCGGGATTTTTTTTTTAAATCCTCACCTGAGGATTTATTGATTTTAGAGAGAGAGAGAGTGAGAGAGAAAAAAAACACATCACTGTGAGAGAGAAACATCAATCAGTTGCCTCCTGTACTTGTCCCAACCTGGGATCAAACCCACAGCCTAGGTATGTCCTGACCGTACACCACAACCTTTTGGTGTGTGGGAGGATATACCAACCAACTGAGCCACCTGGCCAGGGCCCAAACCACTTTTGATTTTCTGATTCCTCTTGGGTTGGAAGCAAATTGAGTTCCCCCCAGGCACCCAGATTTGGGGGTGGGGGAGACTATTTATTATTATTATCATTATTATTATTATTATTATTATTATTATTATTATTATTGACTAGAGACCCAGTGCATGAAATTCATGCACTTAGGGGATCCCTCAGCCCTGCCTGTGTCCCACCTGCTGACTTAGGCTGAGCCCCCCAGAGAGCTAAGCCGGCAGTCAGACATCTCTCTCACAGGCCTGGGGTCTCACAGCCTGGGCCCCCTCACTCATTACCACCTCCTTACCACTCCCACCACCACCACCACCACTGCTGCACTTGTCAGCCATGAGCCCTGCTTTTGGCTGAGTAGTGCTCCCCCTGTGGCAGCTCCTGTGTTTCGTGTCTGCCCCCTGGTGTTCAGTGCGTATCATAGCAACTGTTCATTCTACTCTTTGAAGGATTTGCACATTAGGGTTTTATTACATAGGATTTCAGAGAGGAAGGGAGAGTGAGAAAGATAGAAACATTAATGATGAGAGAGAATCATTGATCAGCTGCCTCCTGCATTGCCTCCCACCGGGGATCAAGCCTGTAACCCAGGCATGTGTCCTTGACCGGAATCGAACCTGAGATCCTTCAGTCCGCAGGCTGACACTCTAGCCACTGAGGTAAACTGGCTAGGGTGGGCCCTGTCTTTTTTAATGACACCCCACCTGTTTCTCCCCTTTCCCATGCTGCCAACTTCTAACCTCAATAATGACTCTGCATGTGTCTGTTCAGTTCTGTGTACAAATGGGATGTTGTGGAGATGACCCCTCCCCCTGCTGCCTGGCTCCCCTCCCCTTTTCCTCCTGGTCGTGGCCACTCATGCAAGCAGGACCAGTAAGAGTCAGGGAACTTCAATTTAAAAAAAGAAATAGACACAACAATTTAAAAAAAAAAAAAAAAAGAAAAGAAAAGAAAAAAAAAAAAGAGCTGGGCTCAATCATGGGATTGAGCATCGTCCCCTGGACCAAGAGGTCCCAGGTTTAACTCCCCGTCAGGGCACCCACATGCGATGTTTCCATCTCTCTCTTCCTTCCTCTCAGTTTAAAAACCAATAAAACACGCCTGGCCGGTGTGTGCCCGTGGCTGAGCATCGACCTATGAACCAGGAGGGCACGGTTCGATCCTGCAGGAGGCAGCCAGTCAATGATTCTCTCTCATCATCGATGTTTCTCTCTTTCCCTCTCACCTTTCTTTCTGAAATCAATTACAATTATACATATATACATATATATATATGAAAGAAATATAAATAAAAATCAATAAAAAATATTCGTGCAGGCCCAACGCACAGAATTCGAGTAGCAGCAGGCCTTCCTTCCCCCGGTTGCCAGCACCGGCTTCCCTCTGGCCCCCCGGACCCGGGCTTCCCTCACAGCCCCAGCTTTGTCTGGAAGATAGTACAGAAGGACGTCCAGTCTCATTTCTAATGAACATATTATGCTTTTAATTAACACACACACACACACACACACACACACACACACACACGAAGCTGGTGGAGCGAATGGCCTGGGGAGCTCTGCGGAACTGAGCTACTGTCCTGTCTGCTCTGAAGGGCTGGCCGTGGCCTTCTGACCTCAGCTTCCTCTCTGCCACTGGGAGTGGAGCAGCAGGAAGCTGAGGGTGCCAGATTCTTCAACAGCCGCCCAGCGGAGGTGGGGCGGCCTCTGCTGGGCCTAGAGGCTGCACTACAAAGGGCAGGATGTAGCTGGGATCCACCCGGTGTCTACTGAGGGAGGGACTGACAGGAAATGATAAAGCGACATAATTATAACAATAATGGTAATAATCCCAGTAATCATAATAAATTTTAATAATAGCTCCATTGTCCCAGCCTGGATGCTGGCCCCAGGGCTGGATGCTTAGAATTCTTCCGTTCGTTCTTTCTTTTTAAAAATATGTTGGTTGTTTTTTTTTGTTGTTTTTTTTTTGGGGGGGGGGTTTGTTGTTAATAAAACATTTATTTTGCATTTTAGACAGAACAACCTGAGGTCTGCATCATGACTTGACAAGTTCCCCAGGGTTTATAGGCAGTGTGTCCATCTGCACAGCGTGGTTCTGGGGTTGGGGACACACACACACACACACACACACACACACACACACACACACACACGGCAGGGGCTGTGAGGGAGTAAGGAGGCACAGCAGGAGTGTAATTCAATCCTTCCTTAAAGAAAAGGCAGTAGAGCATTCTGAGTCACTGAACACCTGTGCAGATGGGGCTTCTAAAACCAACACTATACTGTGAGCTCTTAGGGGGCAGGCAGGTAAGGACCTCGATAAATAAGGGACACTTCCTGTGGTGGGGGATGGGGAGGACGCCTGCCGTTCTCTTAATGCCCTCAGCCCTGGGACCTGGTATTCAAAGGAGACCGTGTCCAAACGTAAGTCGTTTTCCTGCTCAGAAAAAGGTGCCAGTATCCCTGGGATCGAGACCGTGAAGATAGCATCCCTCGTCCATGGCCCACAGCACACTAAAGTAAGGGAGAGGTCAGAGGGTAATGGCTAAAAAACTCAGATCATTGTAAGCACTGATAAAGCCAAATGACTGGGCAAGACCCTGTATCAGACTGGTCTCTCCAATCCGCAGAAAGGTCTCTAGAAGGGAGGGACACGGAGGGGAAGGCCCAGAGCACCCTTCGCTGGAGGTGCAGCACATACAGAAAATCTCAAAGGAGCCAAGACCGGTTTGGCTCAATGGATAGAGCATTGGCTTGGGGACTGAAGGGTCCCAGGTTCGATTCCGGTCAAGGCACGTACCTTGGTTGCGTGCACATCCCCAGTATGGGGTGTGCAAGAAGCAGCTGATCAATGACTCTCTCTCATCGATGTTTCTAGCTCTCTATCTCTCTCCCTTCCTCTCTGTACAAAATCAATAAAATATATTTTTTTAAAAAAAGAAAAAGAAAATCTCAAAGGAGGTATCCAAGTAATGAAGAACAGAACACTCCCAGATCCTAATTTTTATGGGGTAAGTTTTAAAAGAAAGAAACATCAGCCAAGACTGGTTTGGCTCAATGGACAGAGCGTTGGCTTGGGGACTGAAAGGTCCCGAATTCGATTCCGGTCAAGGGCATGTACCTTGGCTGCGGGCATATCCCCAGTAGAGGGTGTGCAAGAGGCAGCTGATCAATGACTCTCTCTCGTCGATGTTTCTAACTCTCTATCTCTCTCCCTTCCTCTCTGTACAAAATCAATAATATATATATATATATATATACATATATATATATATACATACACACACATATATATATATACACACATATATATATATATATTTTAAAAAGAAACATCAAACACTGGGTACTGGGAACAACAATTGCCACGCGGTTTATGACCATGGCCTTTATGGTCACCTGGTAGTGTTAAAAAAAAAAAAATGACCCAAAGCATGTCCAGCTAACCAATAGGTTTTGCCAGGAAGTTTCTGGGCACATAGGAGAGGGCAACAGGGCTTAGTACAGCTGATAATCCAACATGATTCTTATGGAAACAAGGGGCAGAGTCCCGGTGTGCTGGCCTGCTGAGGACTGGGCAGAACAAGTGGCTGCAGGTTCTCTGCAGTCAGCTTTGACCCAGGGAAAAAGGAGCGATTCTCACTCTACAGAGATGGTGTGGGGCCAGACCTAACCCATCCCACATGCTTTAGTCCTGGTCATCCTACAGTTGATGGGCAACTCATACTAATCAGGGGAAAGGAGTTGGTTAGGTAAAGAGGGGTCACTGTTCATTTTTTAAAGCCTTAATTTATATTTTAACCTCAAACTTATTACCAGTGCCTCAGATACAACTTAATCTTAAGTCTTTACAAGCCCCCTGAAACAAAAGTATATATATATTTTTTTAAGTTCCCTCACTTCTGGTAGGTAAGTTTCCCCATCTCCAAAGGTTTTACCCTGACTTAGTGTCCACAAACTTCATCAGACCATCCGTGCTCATGGACTTGGGCCTCTCGAGAGGGAAGCCGAGGGCTCGGCTCCAGATGAGCTGTGCCAGGACACCCATTGCTCGCGACACCCCAAACAGCACGGTGTGGTAGTTCATCTCCGTCACGCCGTAGGACTGGAGCAGTACCCCACCATGAGCATCTACATTGGGCCAAGGGTTCTTGGCCTTGCCCTGCTCCAAGAGGATATTGGGCACAATCTTGTACAGTTGAGCAACCAGCTTAACCATGGGGTCATTGGGCAGGTGTTTCAGAGCAAATTCTCGCTGACACGTATATCGTGGATCAGTCTTTCTCAGTACCGCATGGCCATAGCCCGGGACAACCCGCCCTGAGTTGAGTGTGTTCAAGATGTACTCTCGTAGCTTCTCATCTGGCACCCCTTTGCCAACTTCCTTCTGAAGATTTGTCAGCCAGACAAGCACTTCCTGATTTGCCAGTCCATGTAGGGGTCCTGCCAGCCCATTCATAGCTGCTGCAAAGAGCAGGTAGGGATCTGAAAGGGCACTGCCAACCAAGTGGCTGGTATGGGCACTTACATTGCCACCTTCATGGTCGCTGTGAATGGTGAGGTACAAGCGCATGAGCTCAGAAAATTGAGCATCAGGATAGCCTAACATGTTGGTGAAATTGTGGGACCAGTCCAGCTTAGGGTCAATGGCTCCAATACTGCTGCCCGCCAGGTACAAGTTCCGGTAGATCTTTGCAGCAACACAAGGTAGCTTTGCGATCAGATCCATACAATCTTGGCAAATCAACTCCCAGCACTTGGTCCGGTTGATGCCCTCTGCATATGCTCATGCAAAGTTGCTTTCACTATTGAGGGCTGTGATGGCTGCACTGAGCTGGGACATGGGGTGTAGATTGTTGGGAAAGCTGTCCAGCATGGTGACCACATGGGAAGGCAGAGCTGCCCTCTTTGCCCACTCTTTTGAGGGCCACGACACCTGTTTCTCTGTTGGCATTTTCCCAGTTACCAGCAGCCAAAATAAGCCCTCCAGCAGGGGCCCTTCCCCACCCTTAGCCTTGGGCAGCAGTTTCTGACATTCAGGGATACTGTAGCCACGGAAATGAATGCCCTCATCAGGATCAAGAACTGATGTTTCGTATGCTAATCCCTTCATGCCTCTCATGCCACCACACATCATGTCCACAGTGATTTGGCCACCACTGCCTTTCCATGTCGCTGCCTGAAGGTCTTAATTCTGGTCTGCTCCTTAGGTATCAGGTCAGCCAACACATCTTTCAAATTCGCAGATGAAGCACTAGCATGCCGGGCAGCAAGAACAAGATGGAATGCATTCTTGGCTCCGAGGAGCGGCCACAGTGAGTAAAGCCATTGGCGGGAGAATGCCTGGATCGGGATCTGACGGGGCGGCAGGGGGGAGGCAGGGCGGGGAGCGAGCTGCGGCAGGAACGGGGCCTCCACCGCTGCACCAGACGCCGCGCCGACGGGTGAACAAGGTTGAAAGGAGGCGACCAAGGGCTAAAAATATGTTTTTATGGATTCTAAACTTTTTAATGAATAAATTAAGTAATTTATGTATTTATTATTAATCCTCACCTGAGGATATTTTTTCCTCAACTGAGGATTTTTTCAGAGAGTGTGGAAGGGAGAGACAGAAAGAGAAACATCAATATGTGTGAGAGAGACACATTGATTGGTTGCCTCCTGCACTGGTCCCTGGGGCACCAGGATCCATCCTGCTACCTTTGTACATGCCCTTGACCAGAACTGAACCCAGGACCCTTTAGTCCAATGCTCCAACCACTGAGCTAAGCCAGCTAGGGCTATTTTAAAAAGATATATATTTTATTAATTTTTCACAGAGAGGAAGAGAGAGGGATAGAGAGTTAGAAACATCGATGAGAGAGAATCATCGATCAGATGCCTCTTGCATACCCCCTACTGGGGATGTGCCTGCAACCAAGATACATGCCCTTGACCAGAATCGAATCTGGGACCTTTCAGTCTGCAGGCCGACGCTCTATCCACTGAGCCAAACCAGTTTCGGCAGTTAGGGTTATTTTTATTGATTTTAGAGAGAAGAAGAATGGAAAGGGAGAAACATGCATAAGCTGTCTCCCGCATGTTCCCTGCTGGGAATTGAGCCTGAAACCCAGGCATGAACCCTGACCTGGCATCAAAGCATTGCATGGCTCAACGCTCAGCCACTGAGCCACACCGGCCAGCTCTCCAGTTCTTTTAAAGTGGGGCCAGCACCCTACCTGACAGGTCACGGAGGCTGCTGGGAAGGTTTGTGTGCTGCACCCTCACCACAGAGTGGAGCCCAGTAAGAAGGCTACAGGTCACCCCAACAATTGTCTGGTTTGCACAGGACTGCAGGGGATTCCCAGACAGGGGACTTCGGGGTTAAAATTAGGACAGCTGGGCAAGCGAGGGTAATTAGCCACCCTGCCCCAGTGGTTTCCAGGGGAAGCTAGACACAGGGTATTCCCCGGACTCCAGAGGCCTGCAGGAAGTGGCTCCCCCAGAGTTTCCAGGAGACCAGGGAAAGGCCAGGAGCTGGTGAATTAAAAAGAAAACCCCTTTGCATCTTTCTGAATTGGAAGGTTCAGGAAATAGCCCCTCCCCAAAACAGCCATGAGGTTGGCTGGGAATCCTTCCAAGGAAGTTCCACACCCTGTGGGCACGTGGGCACTTGTGTGAACACATGACCTCTGGAAAGTTCCCAGAAGCAGGCCCCGCCTGGACATTGGGGCTGGTCTCAACTGCAGACCCTGAGTGACCGGTGAATGATTACTCTGACACACGTTTCTGTGAAAGACTGCCTGGTGATAGGAACCAGGCAGCTTTGGTAGCCTGCCTCTTCGGGCTTTTTAAAAATACATATATTTTCATTGATTTCAGAGAGGAAGGGGAAGGGAGAGAGAGATAGAGAAACATCAATGATGAGAGAGAATCATTTACTGGCTGCCACCTGCACGCCTCCCGACCAGGCATGGAGCCCACAACCAGGGCATGTGCCCCTGACTAGAATCAAACCCGGGACCCTTCAGTTCACAGGCCAACGCTCTATCCACTGAGCCTAACCGGCTGGGGCTTTAGGCTTTTATTGTAACAGCAGTTTAAGATAAAGTTTAGATACAATCGGCTGAAACCGGTTTGGCTCAGTGGTAGAACGTCGGCCTGCGGACTGAAAGGTCCCAGGTTCGATTCTGGTCAGGGGCATGTACGTTGGTTGTGGGCACATCCCCGGTAGGGAGTGTGCAAGAGGCAACTGGTTGATGTTTCTCTCTCATCGACGTTTCTAGCTCTCTATCCCTCTCTCTTCCTCTCTGTAAAAAAATCAATAAAATAGGCAGGGACGTGGGGAAAAAAATCAATAAAATATATTTAAAAAAAGAAAAAAAGAAAACCCATTTCTTTTTTAAAAATATATATATATATTGATTTCAGAGAAGGGAGAGGGAGAATCATTGATCAGCTGCCTCCTGCATGCCCCCACTGCAATCTGGGCATGTGCTCTGACCAAGAATCAAACCGTGACCTCCTGCTTCATAGGTTGATGCTCAACCACTGAGCGCTGCCCAGGCTTGATTTTTTTTTTTTTTTTGAGAGGTAGGGTGGGGGAGGGACGGAGGGAAAAGAGGAAGAGAGAGAGGGAGAGAGAGAGATTTGTTGTTCCACTTTTTAAAAAATATATATTTTTATTGATTTCAGAGAGAAAAGGAGAGGGAGAGAAACATCAATGATAGAGAATCATTGATTGGTGCCTCTATGTTTCTAATTCTCTATCCCTCTCCCGCCCTCTCTGTAAAAACTCAATAAAATATATTTTAAACAGAACAAAACAAAACAAGACTTATGCAATTTCTACTGTGTGCTGTGTCCTAGGCCCTGGAGATCCGGCCATGAATAAAACAGGAATTCCTGCCTTGGAGGAGCTGACATAAACCACATAAATACTAAGAGGTGGGATGTAGGGGATGGGGCTGGAAGACTGTAAGTGCTAGGAATGAAAGAAGTTGGGCACATAAGAGGTATTGGGCACGGAGTGTAACCTGATCTATGACAGGAGTCCCCAATAGTTGTTGCCTACGAGTAGCTATGGATTGAGGGCTCCCTCTGGTGGCCACAAAATAAGCAAGTTGTGTCGCCTAGCTTCCACGTCCTGATTTCTGTTGGGTCTGCGGGTGGGGAAGCCTGGCCCACCATAGGTGGGAGACAAAGCAACAAGGGGTACCTGACATCCCGCCCCCCAACCCCCCAGCCGCCTCTTGACTCAGTCACAGTCCAGGCAATGGCTGTGTCTCTCCGTGGCCACACATCCTGCAGGGAGCTCCCCTCCCCAGACTCCTTAGTCCTGGATTTATTTATTTATTTTTTTAAAATATATTTTATTGATTTTTCACAATGAGGATTTTTTACAGAAAGGAAAGGGATAGAGAGCTAGAAACATCAATGAGAGAGAAACATTGATGAACTGCCTCCTGCACACACCCACTGGGGATATGCCCGCAACCAAGGCACATGCTGTTGACCGGAATCAAACCTGGGACCTCTCAGTCCACAGGCCAACGCTCTATCCACTGAGCCAAACCGGTTACGGTAGTCCTGGATTTATTAATAGCTCTCTTATGCTGCTAGTTCTGGGGCGCCTCCCTTGGCAGAATAACATACCCCATCCCCAAAGAGCCTGTGAATATGTTATGCTACAGAGCAAGGGAGAATTAAGGTTGCAGATGGCATCAAGGGTGCTAATCAATCAATCAATCAATCAATACAAGGTAAGAAGGATGCTAATTAGCTGATCTTAAAATAGGGAGATGAGTCTGGGGGGCCCATTATTGTCACAGGAGTGCTTAAGAGTGGAAGGGAGCCCGGGTGGCGTGGCTCAGTGGTTGAGTGTTGACCTATGACCCAAGAGGTTATAGTTCGATTCCTGGTCAGGGCACATGCCCATTGTGGACTCAACCCCCAGTGTGGGGGGCATGCAGGAGGCAGCTGATAAATGATTCTCTCATTATTGACGTTTCCATCTCTCCTCACTTCCTCTCTGAAATCAATAAAAATATTTTTAAAATTTATTTTAAAAAGTGGAAGTGAGAGGAAGAAAAAGAGATAGGAGTGATGTGATTTAAGGACTCATGCTTGCTATCTTTGAAGATGGAGGAAGGGGCCATGAGCCAAGGCAGGCAAGCCTTCCCGAGAAGCTGGAAAAGTCAAGGAAGTGATCCCACCCAGAGCAGCCTCCAGAAGGATCAGCCTGGCAATGTCTTCATTTCAGTGAGACTTCTGACCTGCAGAACGAGAAGATAATGCATTTGTAGCTACTGAGTTTGTGGCACTTTGTTACAGCGGCCGTGGAGAACTAATACACTCAACATACGTGTTTGTTTTCCAGCCCCCCTCACATCAGTGATACCAGTCCCTCCACTCTTTTGAGTGGAATTCTTAGTGTTTCCCACTAAGCAGTCCTGCTCCTGGGAATTTTTCCCACTGGTGGGCAGCCTGTACTCATGGCAAATGGTATGTATACAAGGGTATTTCTTGAGGCATTGCTTGAAAAAGTGGAGATTAGAAAAAAACACACACAAGTGTTTGTCAAAAAAGGACTGATGAAGTAAATGCTGAGATGCACACATTGGTGTTTTCCAGGCTGGGGAGACAGAATGAGGAAGTGCTGATGGACTTTTAAGGAAAGATCTGCAGGTCATATTGTTCATTGAAAAAAGCAAGACGTTTCAGATTGTAGAGTAGGCTACATTTTGTGTAAAAAGAAGGGGAAGTGGCCCGGCCAGCATGGTTCAGTGGTTGAGCATCAACCTATGAACCAGGAGCTCAGGATTTGATTCCCGGTCAGGGCACATACCTGGGTTACAGGCTTGATTCCCAGTGTGGGGTGAGCAGAAGGCAGTTGATCAATGATTCTCTCTCATCATTGATGTTTCTATCCCTCTTTCCCTCTCCCTTCCTCTTTGAAACCAATAAAAACAAAAACAACATATATTAAACAAACAAAATCCTCTGTAACTGCCCTAGCCGGCTTGGCTCACATTGGCTTAGAGCAGTGGTCGGCAAACTCATCAGTCAACAGAGCCAAATATCAACAGTACAACGATTGAAATTTCTTTTGAAAGTCAAATTTTTTAAACTTAAACTATATAGGTAGGTACATTGTTATTAACTTAATTAGGGTACTCCTAACCTGGCCTTTACTAAAAACTCAAGAAGCCAAAGAGCTGACCACTGGCTTAGCACATTGGCCCATGGACTGAAGGTACATGGAATCGAACCCAGTCCATGGGCCAATGTGCTAAGCCAGTGGTCAGGGTGAGATATTCCAGTGAAGGGCACATATCTCAGTTGCAGGCT